GCAACTGGTGTGAGGGGTACAGTGCAGTAACACTGTCAGGTGGAGTGAGCTGATCACACTGGCCTGCAGTGAGGCCACAATGAGGACCACATTTATGAAGTAGGAGGGGAGGTTAGGGTGTAGGGTGTCGTAGATGGAGGGGGGTGACGAGTGAAGAAGGGAAAGGAGGGTGACAGTAACACAAGGTGGCCCCACCACCAGTGGCCAGATAACATCCTGGCCAACCACCCTCCCCCACCTCCCCACGTCTGATACACGCCCCTCACAACCCACCCAGGGTGACCCCTCAAACTCCCCCAGTTTACACTTAACCTCCCTCAACTATCTTACCCCTGGCGTGGGTCAAGGCCCACCCCAGGCTAGATTAACATAGTATGGTGTGCCCCGTGGACGGTAAGAGATGCTGACATCTCCCCGGGTGAGAGCAGCGTCTCTCCCCCGGACCGCCGCGCCGCCCGGGTGTGAGCACCCCCTTAGTGCGGCCCCTGACGACAGGGGAGGGAGGCAATGTTCAGTAGCTCACCTGGGTGTAGGAGAGGCGGCCAACTGCTGGCCACCGTTATCACCGTGTGTTGGCTACCAAACACCTTCTACTGCCTCTACAGTCCTGTCCACACTGCCGCTCACAACACAGTTAGAGGAAGCTGTAAGGGTAACGAGTAGCTGACGTGTGCGTGTGTAGCATAGACCAGCCCACGTCCTCACACCTCACTAGCTACACCAACACTGACCCTCCCAGTCCCTGGCTACTCCCTCACCCTGCCAGGCATGTCTCCCTCCCCGACCCTCACTTACTCCCCGCCCCGCCCCGCCTCCATTCCCACCTACCACAGTACACTATGTGGTGGTGGTAGTGCTGCTGCTGCTGCTGCTACTACTACTACTACTACTACTACTCTCAGCCTCAAACCCTACTTTCCTCTCCCAACAGACACCATACTTCGGCAAGAACCGCCACTACCGTCGTCACCACAACCGCCGCCGCCGCCACCACCGCCATCACAGCCTCCACCAGCCTACAAACCCCACTTTCCTCCCGCCCTCCGCATGAACTACCAACACCACCACCACCACTATCACCACCACCACTACTACTACTATCACCACCATTTTTAATTACTGTATATAATAATGGTTGCCCCTCGTGTAACGAGGATGGCCGGCCCAAGGGCCACCTAGGCGTGAATTTGTTTAAGGTGTAGAAGCTGTCGCCAACACAACAACCACACCCTACGTTAACGACCTGTGTGACCCAGTGTCAAGGAATAGTCCGAGAACTGACAACTCGCCAACTACACTGGATAACCATTACCCCGGAATACAATCCGCAAATCGATTAACATCCAGGTTCCCAATTACTGCTGGGTAGACAGAGGCAAATGGCATAAAAGAAACTTGCCTACAGTTTCACCCAGCCCGTGGATCGAACCAGGATCAGCTCGCTTGCGAAGCGAGCATGCTGACCTTTACACCGCAGGTACTGTATCCACTCACCCACCACACTCCAGTAATAAAACACAAACACATATGGGTCCACACAGCACTCTTGGTGGTATCTTGTCGCTTCATGCAGACCAGCTTTAAAAACTACTACTACTACTACTTTTTTTTTTAACGTGGCCTCCAGCCTCCCCCAATAGCCACACCTTCGCCACCATTTAATTACCTTAATATTAAATATCCTAATACATAAGTAGCTATCCTATCTGTGTTAAATTAGTTGAGCCGCAGATCTATGCGGCATTCAGTGACAGTAGCCTCATAGTCAATATCTGCGGCAGTTGTCGGAGTTGGGGCAGAAGCTCTCGTTCCCCTGAGGCAGAGCAAAGCCGACCTAAGGAGAGAGAAGGACAGTCGACATCTCATCCAGGCTGTAACGAAACTTCTGGGCTGCTGCTTCTGTTCCGAGATCACCTCCGCGAGTCTGGCGTAGAAACATCTTGCACTTGGTCCCATCCCACCAGAGGTTGTGAACACTAGAGGAGTGAAGCTGCCTTGATCAATGTTTTGGATTCTCTCTCCATATGCCCTTATCTTGTCGTTCTCATTCCTCCTATTTGCAGCATCGAGAGCTAGCTTACGGTGACATGCAGCCATGGGATCAAAAATCCTGATGTCGAAGAAAGCTCGCTGTCCCCGCGTCCAGAATCATCGAGCACTGACGTCAACACGGGCTTCGTTAGATGTGTTTGAAGTCCTATGTTGGAAGATCTCACCATCCAATGAAAGGAGGGTCGGTTCTACCATGACATCCCGGCAGATTTCCTTCGTCATGCCTCATGCATATGAAGCCCCCTTTCTTGCACACCATGGCGTGATCGCCGTCATAGGAAGAGCCACACACGCATTGGGAGGGCAAACCTTCAACTGGCCGACCGTACCTTAGAGCAATGGCATCTGTAAATTCTTGTTTGTTAAGACTGAAACCATTTGCCCTTATCGGTAACTTAGTTAACCATTTCGAGGCACCCACCTCCTGCGCTATAGCTACTTTTTTTTTTAAATTTTCTGGAACCTGCAGCAACAGTTGCTGCAACTTATCATTTTGGCATTGCTGTCGATCTGTCGTAATGGACCTACGAATCTCGTTTACTTCACTAGTCTCGACCTCCCCTGTTGCGTTCTGGGCTATTTTGTGGTCCGTGAGGGCTGCCGTGAGCTCAAGTGAATTTTGATGTTCGGTGGCTGCAATCTCCTCTGGATTGGTTAGTCCCATCCCTCCCAGTCTTGATGGAAGTGCAAGAAGTGCTCTTTCTGCTGGGGTTAAGTGAGTGTATTTCACTAATTTGGGAATGAACTTGACACTGATAGCTTCTTCCAAAGGGTGGAGGAGGAGTCCGATATCAGGGATAGTACGCATCAGGTAGTTCCAACGATGCTTGACTCCATGGGTGAATGCAGCAAAGGCCGCATGTGGCTCTGTGTTAGCAATCTCAGACAGAGCTTGGATTTCACTAACCCACTCATTCACCTTTCCCGCTACGTACTCGATCTTGAAGTCCGTAGTGCCAATTACTGCGCCTAGATGTCTTTGGCCGTCCTTAGTTATTTTGACCTCACTTCCGCCAAAAACCTCCTTTGCCCGTTCATAATGTTCTGGCTTCACGATGAGGAAGGACTTGCTGGCGTTTGGGTGGTACCCTATTTGTGGACCTCGCGATGTTACCAAGTTCCACCACTTTTTGATGCCCTCCAGTTGTTTCAAATTTTATTTCTTGTTGGAGCACTGATAGACCTATTGCATACATTGCCATTGCAACAGGGTCCCCCTGTGTTGTTCCCTAGGTTGACTGTAAGATGGTATCACCTCGTAGGGCCTTGTTGTTTACTATATAAAGGTCTGATGGATTCCTATAGGAGTTTTCAACATACATTGCAAAGCTTGGACACCTGATCCTGATGTTGTGCAGTGCGGCCTTGCGGTTAAGTATGTTGAATGCATTTGAAGCGTCGACCAGGAGAACGGCCTCACAATCACGTTGCTCAAATATCATTCTCATGGCGTGAATGGCAGCTTCCCCTCCAGCTTGTTGTCCTGCACAAACTTGCAGGTTCCCTGCTGCTGCCCTGACATAATCCTTTACCACCTCCATTATGCATTTTCCGATGATTCGCCTAAGCACTTCCCCCACTCCTATTGGCCTACATCCTGGATTCTTAACCAGGGGAATGAGGCGGCAGGCCGTCAGAGCATGAAGGTGATGGTAGCATGAGGATGCCAGCTTTCTTGCAAGGACGGCAATGGCCGTGCAGAGATCACTTGCTGCGGGGCCAAACTTGTTAGTGCTGAGGATGACTCTCCATCCGTTTGCAACCAGACCTGAAGGGCCGGCACCTCCCTGAGTCTTCAGTGTCTTTTTCCACACCATCCCTCCTGTTATTTTCTCGAACAGGACAGCATTTGGTGGGATATAGGCACCCTGAAACCTGATGCCTTCATCTTCACTTGCAGGGGGGATGTTTTTCTTTCAGTTGTTTTAATGTCTCTGTTTATTGGCAGGGCCCCACCGGTGGATTCCTCTGTGAGAGATCTTACCGCCAAGGACACTTTTCCCACACGCATCTTGTTTCCAAACTTTCTTGCAGCATCATCGGTGTTTTGCTTTCCGTCTCCTGTAGATTTTAGTCTCTCCTGCAGTGTTCTTGCTTCACATAGGAGATCATCAAGGGCCCTACTACTACTACTGATAATAATAATAATGCAATAACAATAATAAAAATCATAATAATAATAATAATAATAATAATAATACCCTAATCCAATTTTTTTACGTAAAGTTTTCGTTTCTCTTCCCTGATATTATCATCATCATCATCATTACATATTTCTGTTGCTAGTAATACCGTATACACACTACAGGGGCACTAATACATCACCACAACAACTACCACACCAAATTCTCTCCCGTAAAAGCATCAATATCATGGTTGGAATAATGGCACCATGTTTGCGTCACCGTAAATGGCACTCATGAAAAAATAATCACCCAAATCAATACTTGTTACACGTCGCTGCTGGTTATCGGCGGTGACCAAGGGCTCTCAAAAGGTCTAGCCAAACCAGTGTTGTACCTGCCACAGATTTCAGAATTAAAATCTGGACGACAACTTTAATGATTTAACACTTTGGATAGACCAGAGACGGTTGGGGGGGGGGGGGTGTATGATTCTAAGACATTCATTACGAATTGAAGTATAAAGAATATGGACGTAAAACAGTAAATAATCACAGAGATAAATTAAAACAGTGTAGGGGGTAATTGAGATGAGGAAGAATAACAACGGAGAGAGAATCAGGACTTTGAAATAAGAAGCCCCCTTCCCCCATGCCAGTGTTTATGATGCATGGTAAACAAGCAAGTGCTGCTTTACCCCCTCTGTAGTTTAACACATCAAGGATAATGAATATAAGAGACACATCCACTTATTTCCTTCCTTCATGTGCAAACCAAACAGATACCAAGAATAACTCGTTCAAATAATAACAACTGGGAACATACCAAAACAAGATGAGTTAGCCAGCCAGTCCTTTAGTAAGAGATGAAGTCAAGTTATTCTTAGAGGATGAATGTTGTTGTAGTAGTTGTTGTTGTTGTTGTTGTGGTTGTTGTTACCCAACACACGATCATCAACCAGACTGCCCACAGTCCAATCTGAAACACGAGACGTTGAGATTAAAGTTGTATTATATTTCTACTTAAAACAAAACAAAACGATTAATTGGTCAACAGGTAAAACACGGCCAGGTGAGATGAGTAACAAGGAGGACGTGTGTGTGAGACGTCCGTTTTATGAATTCTGGCAAAACAAAAGGGGGAGGAGGAAGAGAGGATGGGGAGGAGAAAGAGAGGATGGGGAGGAGGAAGAGAGGAGGAGGAGGAGAAAGAGAGGATGGGGAGGAGAAAGAGAGGAGGAAGAGAAAGGAAGGAGTGGTATCAGTAGTATCAATGACTATGTGTGTTTATACATGTATGTGTGTCCGTGTCCGTACAGGTGAGTGCGTGTGTGAGGGTGTGTTTGCGTGTGTGAGGGTGTGTTTGCGTGTATCGGTGTTAACTCATGACTTTACCGGGAAGTCAACTCATGGAGAATTTGCATGAGTCAATAAATCTATGTGTAGAAGTCGCAGTTTCTCGCCCCAAGACCTGACCAGGGAAAGGGGGTTGACTTGACCTCCTCTCGACCAAAGACCTAACCTCTCGCCCCCAAGACCTGACCTCCTCTTGACCAAAGACCTGACTTTTCGCCCCAAGACATGACCAGGGAAAGGGGGTTGACCTGACTTCCTCTGGACCAAAGACCTGACCTCTCGCCCCAAGACCTGACCAGGGAAAGGGGGAAGTGACCTGACCTTATCTCAACCTAACTGATATAACATCTGCCCATCTAACTGTACTCGCGCGAGATAAAGGAAACACCTGAAGATTAGGCACCACAGTTTACTTCACCTGGTAATTAAACACCCTAACCTTCCTACGGTGGGTTTGGTTAGGCTTTAAGTTGGGATAGGCTAGATCAGAGGCTAGGTTAGTGTCAGGTCGCTCTTAGATTAGGTCATTGTTGGGTTCGGTCAGCATTAGGTTAGTTTAGTGTTTGGTTAGGTTAGCACTAGAATGGTTGATCATCCGGTGAAATAAGCTGGAGTGCCTAATCTTCAGGTGATCCACGATACGTATAACTAGCGGCGATGATAAAATGTCAACAAACGGCAGCAATCCCCCCCCACCTTCCCTCCCACAAAAAAGTCAATCTTAGGTCCGGGGGAGGGGGTGCAGGAGGGGAGGGGGGGTGTACAGGTGAGCAAAGGAGGGGGCGTGAGTGAGTGGGAGGGAGGGAAGGAGGGAGACGTTGAGGAAGGCGCTGAGGCAGCCACGGCCGGCGTCAACGTCGGTGGTGAGGGGTAGTGTGTGTGCCGGCGTCCATGTATTGATTACCTGGCAACTCACCCTCCCTCCCTCCTTCCTTCCCTCCCTCACTCTCTCCTTCCCTTACCTCTTCCTTCCGTCCCTCCCTCACTCCCTCCCTTACCTCTTCCTTCCGTCCCTCACCCTCTCTCCCTCCCTCACTCTCTCCTTCCCGCCCTCCCTTACCTCTTCCTTCCGTCCCTCACCCTCTCTCCCTCCCTCACTCTGTCCCTGCCTCACACTCCTAACCGGCAAGGCCTCACACCCTCGCCTTCTACACAGCTGCCGACTAACTCATAATCCTGGCTGTAGTCCATTGTTTACCTCTTAATTCTACCTCTTGTCTCCCTACAAATTCGCTTTCTTTTCACAAAATATTTTATATTAATAAACCGATTATTATTAGTAATATTATCACAGACAGACAGACACACACCGCGTGGATGTTTACGAGAAGCTCTACCGTTAGGTATGTACACAGGAGACTGACTGACGACAGGCTGACAGGAGTGACAGCGAAGGACAGGTGTCAGTGGGCTGGTTAATAGCAGGGCAGGGTGGTGCAGGCAGGGCAGACCGACTTCACCACCATGTTAACCCAGCGACATATTCTGGTTGACTATGCACTAGACATATTCAACTCGACACCAGCAACCAAACTGGGACCTTACAAATACGTTCCTGAAGGGAACGGTGAGTGGGTGGGTGGGTGTGTGTGTGTAATAATAATAATAATAATAATTAACGGTTTATTGAAAAAATTCTGCAGCCCGAAGGCTGAAAATATACATTGGACATAAATGACTTATTACATACATTAGTGGTTTAACAAAAGCCTTCATTAGAGAAAGGTAAAGGAACATACAGTGAACATACAGATTAATGTAGGTGTTGAACAGCAAACTCGTAGTGTAGTAACTCCCTCCCAGATGGTGTTAGGAGGAACTCTTGTGTGTGTGTGTGTGTGTGTGTGTGTGTGTGTGTGTGTGTGTGTGTGTGTGTGTGTGTAACACGCAATAACATTTATATACTGTATTGCACATTTCTTCAATGGCTTCAATATGCATTACTGTTTTGAACACGACTAATAGAGCGGGGTGATACTACTACTGATACTACTTAACTTTGTTATGGCCTCCAGCCTCCCCCAATAGCCACACCTTCGCCGCCATTTTATTACCTTAATATTAAATATCCTAATACATAAGTAGCTATCCTATCTGTGTTGAATTAGTTGAGCCGCAGATCCATGCGGCATTCAGTGACAGTAGCCTCATAGTCAATATCAGCAGCTGTCGGTATTGGGGCAGAAGCTCTCGTTCCCCTGAGGCAGAGCAAAGCCGACCTAAGGGGAGAGAAAGACAGTCAACATCTCATCCAGGCTGTAACATAACTTCTGGGCTGCTGCTTCTGTTCGGAGATCACCTCCGCGAGTCTGGCGTAGAAGCATCTTGCACTTGGTCCCATCCCACCAGAGGTTGTGAACACTAGAGGAGTGAAGCTGCCTTGATCAACGTTTTGAATTATCTCCCCATATGCCCTTATCTTGTCGTTCTCGTTCCTCCTGTGTGCAGCATCGAGAGCTAGGTTATGGTGACATGCGGCCATGGGATCAAAAATCCTGATGTCGAAGAAAGCTCGCTGTCCCCGCGTCCAGAATCCTCGAGCACTGACGTCAACACGGGCTTCGTTAGATGTGTTTGAAGTCCTATGTTGGAAGATCTCACCATCCAATGGAAGGAGGGTCAGTTCTACCCTGACATCCCGGCAGATTTCCTTCAACTACTACTACTACTACAACTACCATTACCTAGATCATCATCACCACCATCCAACCACATACTCGACCACCACCACCACCCTACCACAACCTCAACCACCACCCTACCACAACCTCCACCACCAACCTACCACAACCTCAACCACCACCCTACCACAACCTCCACCACCACCCTACCACAACCTCCACCACCACCCTACCACAACCTCCACCACCACCCTACCATAACCTCCACCACCACCCTACCACAACCTCCACCACCAACCTACCACAACCTCCACCACCATATTCAAGCACTAACCCCCCCCATACGGTTATCAGATTATGTTATCAAGGGAACAGTTTAATACCATTCCCTTATCAGTCATCCTGGTAACACATCCTACTGTCCATGACACAACCTCACAACACACCACACCCCTCACAACACACTACACCTCACACACACACACCACATCCCTCACAACACACTACACACACACTACACCCTCACAACACACTACACCTCACACAACACACCACATCCCTCACAACACACTACACCCCTCACAACACACTACACCCCTCACAACACACTACACCCCTCACAACACACTACACCCCTCACAACACACCACCCCTCACACGACACACCACCTCACACAGCACACCACATGCCTCACAACACACTACACCCCTCACAACACACCTACACCCCTCACAAGACCTCACACGACACACTACACCTCACAGCACCACATCCCTCACAACACACTACACCCTCACAACACACTACACCCCCCACACACACTACACCCCTACACGACACACTACACCCCTCACAACACACTACACCCCACACACACTACACCCGTCACAACACACTACACCCCTCACAACACACTCACACACACCTACACAACACACTACACCCTCACAACAACCACCCTCACGACGACACACTACACCTCACACAGCACACCACATCCCTCACAACACACTACACTCCTCACAACACACTACACCCCTCACAAGACCTCACACGACACACCATCTCACACAACACAGCACACTACACCCCTCACAACACACTACACCCCTCACAACATACTACACCTCACACGACACACCACACCCCTCACAACATATTACAGTACACCTCACACGACACACCACACCCCTCACAAGATCTCACACAACACACTAGACCTCACACAGCACATCCCTCACAACACCTCATACAACACTACACCCCTTACTACACCACACAACACACTTCTCACAACACACCTAGAGAATGAGGAAGAGAGAAGAGGAGAGAAGAGGAGGGTTAGGAACGGAGAGGAGAGGCCAGTCCAGGTGAGGGAAGGTGTACAGTCAACTTTAGTGTGCCTCCCTATTGATCTCGTGTTGATGCTTCCACTAACCCACACACAGACACACACTCCCCACTCTAATGACCGTCCAACCATCCATCCACCTCTTATCGTGTCTATCAAGAGGAGGGGAAGGAGGATTAGGAGGAAGATTAGGTAGGGGTGGAGGAGGAGTAGTGTGAGGGGGAGGAAGTGGGGGTGGAAAAGGGGGGGTGAGGGGGGTAGAAGGGGGGTGTTTGGTTGGGAGGGGGGTTAATGACAGCAGCCTTGATGGAACACGGGTTTAGGTTCAGTAACATGAGGCTTAATGGATTCCCTCCTCCCTCCTGTATCAGAACTCTTAACGCGGAGGGTTCAGTGGCCTAGACAGAAGGTTCAACAACGGTAAGTTAATAGACGGTACAACAACAGAAGCTTAAACGAGAAAGGTTCAGAAAAAGACAGCTTAATACCGCCAGCCGTAAAACTAAGCTTATCAACAAAAGCTTACTGAAACCAACATTCCAAAAGACCCCATTAAAAAAAAAACTTATCAGAGGGTTGTAAATGAAACACTATATCAGTAACATCGAAGCTTAATAGAGCCAGTTTAATAGGACGTCAGCTTACTATCA